CCGGAATACTGTATAACGTATGATATAATGAGATTGAATATGCGCAATATTTGAAATATGGGAGGGGCAAATTAATAAGGTAAGGCAAGTGGTGTGTGATAGGCGTTTATAGGGGTTACAAGCATTAAGAAGAGGAGGTTGTGATCATGGTAGGGTGGGCATATTTGATTCTTCGGGTATAGGCGGTCCATTTGATGGTTGATGCATCTTGGTAATGGTTAGTTTTGTTCCAGAATTTTTAAGAACTCGTTCGTGCCTTGAGCTGGGATGAACGGGTTAGAATCACTCCCAGGAGAATTAAGGCTGAGTTAGCTGTTGTCCGAACGGAGTTGTCCCCTAGCCGCATAAAGAACCACGTAACAAATATTGGTCGAAAATCCCATAAAAAATAATAATAAATAAAATAAATATATAAATAAATGGTTCTAACAGTTCGCCTGGAGGTCCTTTAAATGAAGTTGTATCTCACACATAATGTTATCGTTCAAACTTCGTAATAAAAATATTATATCTCACAATATATCTTTTTATTACAAAGTTTCTATAATACTTCCCAAATATCATCTACTAATTTGATCTGTTGATTTATATTAGTAACATTGGACCCCGTTAGTGCCACGTTGAGATTTTTCGACAAATTTTCGTATTTATTGTCGTCTCTTCAAAAAAAAAAAAAAAAAAAAAAAAATAGATCGACTCAGCTAGTCGAGATATGACGACCGGTATACTTAAAGGTGGAACTAGAACCAATATTTCTCGGCGTTACAAACTCTTGGGGCTGCACATTGATAGTAATATTAATGACAATTCGAATTAAAAACTTCGTCAAAATACTCGTCTTCCGATTACGAAAATTAGACATCTCCAGTAAATTCTTAAATATCATCATTTAATTGCAAACTTGATATATCGTTCGATATGTAAAAAAATTTTATTCTCCTTGGCAAATTATATCTGTAGGCGTATTGCGTGCAATGCCAAAATTTACTTACAACTGAATATAAAAATATTTATTTCTGTATTTTTTCGAGATATTAAGTATACAAATTACAAAATATACAAAATACATTTGACATAGGTTTTTGTTTTGATAAATCACCTTATTATTGCATCATGGGTAGTCCATTTAGCTTAGCTGATGTATCGATTTACTGTCAAAGTGGGTAATTTTTAAATTGAATTCAATGTGCAATGTTGCCAACCATGTGAAATATTATAAGGATTAAGTGTCGAACAGAGAATGACATCCATTCAACGCAACTAGTAGTACACCGGCTAACGCAATAGAAAAATCATTCATATTCACCAACGCAAATTCTTCTAAGCATAACATAAACACAAAAGTAAGTCAAATACAAATGAATCCCACCGGACTACAATTGTTTCCACAAACAACGCAAATGATCGTTCATAGCAGAGTTTGCACTACCGAGTGTGTGGAGAGCGTAGGTTGAAATAAATCAACCACCAAATGAATAACGTGTTATACGATCAAATGACTTATTGTGTGAAAGAGTAAATACAAAACTGGTGTTGAGAATAACATTGAGAGTAACATTAAGAGTAATTTTCTATACACAGGGGTTGGCTTGCGGTATTTTATTTTTGACTTGCGTTTTGCATAAAATAAAATAACGCAACTACAATTAATGGCAAATTAGAAATTAATAGTGCAAAAACGTTTTTAAACAAAACATTAATTCATTTTTTTATTATAAAAATTCTACATATAAATAAGTCAGTATAGTTATTAGGGGAAATAAAAAATGTATTTAAAAATTAAAAGAATAGTTCGTGTTTTATGAGAAATTTTAAAATATTATGTATAACATAACAGAAATAAAAATAAATTAAAAACTGGATTGTCATAGTTCATTCTAAAATTAAGTGATCATAAAAACAAACTTCACTCATAGAGTAGTACTGTTATGATGCGGTGCACCGCATTGATTCGATTGACTTTGTTTCTTTTGCGTTGTTTGCATTGTTTATGTTCTCCCGCACTCACATACATAAAAACACTCTGAAAGAAGCCGGCGATAGCAGAGAGTGTTTATACGAAGATATGATGTGAATTGAAAACAATCGGTAAAGTGAGAGTCAACAATGGCAGTATTTTCACGAATGACCGAGTGTTGACTGTACTATACCGCATCATTTGTAGTTGCGTTAAGTATTACTATCGCTTTATTTTATGCATAACGCAAGTCAAAAAAAGCTACCGCATGTCCATCTCTGGTGTCGAAGCGCGTAATTTCTACTTGAATTCGATGTGCAGTGTTGCCAACCATGTGAAATATTATAAGGAAACATTTAACAGATAATCGAGACAAAAACAAAGGTTTTTGTTTTGATACATCACCTTGTTATAACATCATGTATTCAACTTTATCGTAAATCCTTCAAAGACATAGAAACCGTAAAGACTCGACAAAATGCATTTTGACAAAATAGTTTATAAAAAAATATCCGGGGGGAATCATGTGTAACAGAGGCATGTTAACAATAAAAACGCTAATATGCGATAATGTGTTTATAAGATGTAAATAATATCAGAGATCTGCACTCAAAATATATTTTTTATTTAATAAGCTTGCTATATAGCACTTAAAATGTTTAATATTGTTCTCTCTGTTTTTATGATATCGTAACAACAGAGGAAAATCCATCTGTAGGAAATTGTTTACGTATCAATTGTCCTATCTTTATACTTTTATGTCTTTGAATCCTTATTGGGTGTGTTACCAACCACTATTGTAGTGAACATTTTAACCAAGACATAAACAATCATACAGTGTTATTACAATTTTCCTACAGATGGTGCTCTTCATGACGAAGTGTATTAACAACGAGCAGTTAGTACAAATAATCAATAACCTAATACAGTCGAATTGGGATAAGCGAACGCCGTTTTATTGCAAAAATCGGCTAAATGAAAAAAAATATTTTAAACCAATAATTCGTTCGAATTTCAAAAGACTTTAGTTCGCTTAAATGAAATACATGTTAATTGAGAAACCGTTTGAAATAAAGACTTTTTCGTTGCAAAACCCCAAATATATAAGAAACTAACGCCGTTCAAAAGAAAAATATTATTTATGTAACGGCGACGAAAAAATCATTTGGCACCGGGTTCATTTAATCCTCTTTTATGCAACACCTAAAAATGTACACATTTTTCCAACCAAATGTATTGTTTGTTTACAAAAGTTTAATTGGCAGTTACAGATAAAAAGGCAACATGTCTACGGAGAAGGTAAGTTCTTACTTAAGTCATTTCATTAATTGTTAATTTCACTTTTTTTAGAGATTGAAAAAGAGAAAACATTAATTTTAAAAAATTACGTGGTAAACAAAGTTCCGCCAATAGTTTTTCTACAAATGAATGGCTGATCAACATATTACCAGCTTATTCAGAGCATACAATATATAATTCTGACGAGTCAGTCCTTCTCTATAAATCAGTACCATCTGGAACTCTTGCAAATAAATCTGATATTCTTTCTGGAAGAAAATTTCACAAGGACAGACTTACACTACTCTATTTGGCAACTTCTACTGGCATCCACAAACAGATTTAGACTTTAAACTTATTGATCTTTAATACTTTGCTTCATTTTCTACTTACCTTTTCCTTAAACTCCTTATGCATCAGCGGCATCAAAAGTGTGGTTATGACACTCATGAAGGCACCGCCTAAAATGAAATGGACATTACGCTGCTTAAAGGGTAAAATCTTATCCTTATTGCATAGAAAAATCGCAGAACCCGTGCTGTTTTAAAAAATTTACCACACTTCCCGTAAAATATTTTGCCAACTCTAAAGCATGGATGAGCAATGAAAGATCTCGATACTGAATATAAAGAATTCGGAAAGAAAATTGTACTTTTTGTGGACAATGCTGCGTTTTCTTCCGGCCAATACGACTTCTTTAATTCAGCCACTGGACCAAGGAATCATTCGATCGTTCAAAGCTCAATACCGAACGAATATAGTATCAAAACAGCTTCTACATCTAGAATGTGGACTTTCCTTACATGAGTATTCAAAAAAGGTAGACATTTTAGAAGATCTGACGATGGCACAAACAGCTTGGTCAAATGTGACTGCCGAAACAATCCGATGCTGTTTTCGTAAGGCGGGAATTATTCCTGGAAACGCAGACTGTTTTCTTGAAGAGAGCCTGAGGCATTAAGCGGTGAAATTGAAAATCTAATTGACATTGATAAAAATGTAGATTGTTACGGAGTATTGACTGACGAAGAAATCATAGAGCATAGGTGACGTTTGCGGATAATAATGAAAATAAAGAAAACGATGATGATATTATTAACAAACTTAGTTCGAAAGAGACATTAGCAGCTATTTACGTAATCAAATCATTGTTTGAAGACGGCGTGAGGCTTTCACTAAAATAAACGATTCACACAATGAAAAATAAATGACTATTTTAATTCGAGCTCTTTAAAATAAACGATTCACACAATGAAAAATAAATGACTATTTTAATTCGAGCTCTTTAATATATTTAATTTTGTACTTTTCATTTATGTAAATATGTGAACACAAACTATTGTTATTAACTCAAGTTCCCTAATTTTCTTTTTACTCTTTATAATGGATTTTTAATTTTTTAATATGTTAATTTAACTACCTAATAAAATGAATTTAATTTATAAATATGTTTTAACATATGTGTATTTATCTCGTTTCCCTTTATAAGCTGACTTCGTTTAAGCGCAAGGAGTTTCACTTATCCGAAGTCCGTCTAATTGAAAATCCCGCATAAGAGAAAAAAATTACTGAAATTACTCGTTTTCGCTTAACCGAATTCGACTGTAGATGTCGATGACATCAAAGGATGTATATTGGATTTTTTCCCTCCCGTGAATCAGATTGAGGGAAACTAGTAACCCATAATAAAATATAATAAATCGTTAAATTTATTTTCAAATATACTTTTTATTTGATCGCATTCTGAACTAAAAACGTATTAGCTTCAATTACGTTTTCTCTTATGATATTGTTGTAAATTATACAGATAATTTGAATGTTTCTCAATATGATTCCACAAAAGATTTACATCCAATTGATTCGTTTCGGGACCACCATAATCTGCTGGTAAATTTTCATAGCCAATCATGTTGCGTAGTTTGTCGAAATTTTTGCCATCATGATTGTAGGTCTGAAAATATGTAAAAATCGGATATAAAATAGTTCTAAATTACATTGTATTTTTCCAACTACTGTCGACTAAATATTCGATAATCGAAAGGAGCTTAGACCTTAAACTTATTGATATTTAATACTTTGCTTTATGTTCTACTTACATTTTCCTTAAACTCCTTATGCATCAGCGGCATCAAAAGTGTGGTTATGGCACTCATAAAGGCACCGCCTAAAATGAAATGGACATAACGCTGCTTAAAGGGTAAAATTTTATCCTTTTGATGAATCAATCGGGTAATGCGTGGTGCCACATAGGGTAAAAAGTTCAAGTTAAATCTGAAATGAAAAATAACCAGTAAGGAAAGTAGTAAAGTAGGACTGGGCCGACTATATGATACCCTTTACTACTTTGGGTATATTCTACAAATGTCTCCTAACAGACTCCGCCTTTTCGAAAGATCATTGACATGACATTGAACAAACTTGAATATGTGATCTGTGCCAATTTAAGTGCAAATCGAAAGAAATCTAGGGACTTTGGTGCATATATATATATATATATATATATATGGGAGCTATATCTAAATCTGAACCGATTGTCACGAAACTTAACACATATCATTCTGCACTCAATTCAGTACGCTATGCAAAATTTCGTGCAAATCGAAAAATTTATTTGTATTTACATAAAATCGATGTTATATATACATATATGTAATGTTTTCTCGAATTAGCATACAGTATTTTATACTGCACCAATCAGTAAAAAATTTCTATAAAGCAATATAGTTTGACATATATGGGAGCTATATCTAAAACGGAACCATTCTGCACTTTGATAAGTACGCTGGGGCAAATTTCGTGCGAATCGAGATATATATTGGGAATTTGCTACAGCATTTACATAAAATCGGAGAAAATATATATAGAAGCTATATCTAAATCTGAACCGATTTTCAGGAAACTCAACACACATCATTCTACATCTAATTCATTACGCTATGCCAAATTTCGTGCAAATCGAAAGATATATAGGGACTTTGGTGCACCATTTACATAAAATCGGACGAAAATATATATGGGACATATATCTAAATCTCAACCGATTTTCTCGAAACTTAGCATACAGTATTTTATACTCAATTCAGTACCCTATGCCAAATTTCGTGCAAATCGAAAGCAATATAGGGACATTGGTACAGCACTTACCTAAAATCTGACGAAACTATATATGGGAGCTATATCTAAATTGGAACCGATTGTCACGAAACGTAACACATATAATTATGCACTTAATTCAGTACGATATGCTAAATTTCGTGCAAATCGAAAGATATATAGGGACTTTGCTACAGCATTTACATAAAATCGGACGAAAATATATATGGGAGCTATATCTAAATCTGGACCGATTTTCAGGAGACTTAGCACACGTTATTCTAGACCTAATTCATTTCGTTGTGCCAAATTTCGTGCAAATCGAAAGATATTTAGGGACTTTGGTGCCCCATTTGCATAAAATCGGACGAAACTATATATGGGAGCTATATCTAAATCTGGACCGATTTTCAGTAAACTTAACACAAATCATTCTAGGCCTAATTCATTACGCTGTGCCAAATTTCGTGCAAATCGAAAGATATTTAGGGACTTAAATCGGACGAAAATATATATGGGAGCTATATCTAAATCTGAACCGATTTTTCAAAATTTCAATAGGGTTCGTCCTTGGGCCAAATAAGTGACCTATGCCAAATTTCATCCAATTCTGATCATAAACAATTTAATACAATTTACATGAACAGACGGACGAACATGCATGAATCGACTATGCATATTCTCAAAAGGAACCATGTGTCTATCTCGTTTCCTTTTGCCTGTTACAAACATATGCACAAAGACATAATACCCTGTACCACAGTGTGGTGAAGGGTATAAAAATATACGTCATTTAGAAAATCGTATTTTCTTCTTCACTTACCCTGTCATGTCGAAAATAACCGTCAAACCATTATCCTGGGTCTGAGGTAATAATAACAGAGACTCGAATATTATGTCTTCCATTTCAGCACTATCCAATAAATAATTGGGATATTTTTCGAAGGCATCCACTGTAACAAAATAGAATATATTAGAATTGTTTTGAATCTTTTTTTGGAATTTTTACCCAATTTTATTATCAGAATTGGACGACCCTCTTTATCCGGTTGTGGCATTACAAATCTTGCTGCCACATTCAGAAATTGTTCACGAAAATGTGCCGGATGATGGTGGGCCATCCATTCTGGATTGTCAGCCTTGAAATCATAATAGTTATGTATGGCCACATAGGCCCTTTCAAGATGCCAATTTTTAAAAGATAAAAATTTCGCCAAGAAGATATCATCCGTTCCCACAGAGAGATTGAGAGAATCTGTAAAAAATGAAATTAAAGAAAACGTTTTGGGTGCGAATAGATCTCCTCCAACTTACCTTCCACCAAGTTTCTTAGGTCATTGATTTTTTCAAGTTTCTGGGGGGTAAATGTTATGACTGAATTCAACATTGCAAAAAAAATAAACTAAAATTTTTCGTAATATTTTGAAAATGTCTTTAGAATTATTCTTCCGAATTCTTAAGCCGTTGCAATGATTCCCGTGTTAAAACTTTTGATTGAATGATGGTCGATTGCATGACAAATGATTGTTGGGTTCTTCAAGCCATTTCTATTCAGAATTTATTAGGCAAAGCAATCGGCAATAGAATATTAATGGCCACATTAAAAGCGGGAAGCTTTGGTCAATGTAAAAAAAGTTAGGAGGCTATTGGTTATCGGTTTGTTTGCAGCGAATGCAACAGACAGTTAGGAATGGAGGCAACCTACGAGGGAGGTTGAAGTATTTCAGGAAGTGGATTTTTTTAAAAAAAAAATTTTTAAAGGACCAACAAGGCGTGGAGTTTTTAAATAATATTTTTTAAAGGACCAACAAGGCGTGGAGTTTTTAAATAATATTTTTTAAAGGACCAACAAGGCGTGGAGTTTTTAAATAATATTTTTTAAAGGACCAACAAGGCGTGGAGTTTTTAAATAATATTTTTTAAAGGACCAACAAGGCGTGGAGTTCTTAAATAATATTTTTTAAAGGACCAACAAGGCGTGGAGTTTTTAAATAATATTTTTTAAAGGACCAACAAGGCGTGGAGTTTTGAAATAATATTTTTTAAAGGACCAACAAGGCGTGGAGTTTTTAAATAATATTTTTTAAAGGACCAACAAGGCGTGGAGTTTTGAAATAATATTTTTTAAAGGACCAACAAGGCGTGGAGTTTTGAAATAATATTTTTTAAAGGACCAACAAGGCGTGGAGTTTTTAAATAATATTTTTTAAAGGACCAACAAGGCGTGGAGTTTTTAAATAATATTTTTTAAAGGACCAACAAGGCGTGGAGTTTTTAAATAATATTTTTTAAAGGACCAACAAGGCGTGGAGTTTTTAAATAATATTTTTTAAAGGACCAACAAGGCGTGGAGTTTTTAAATAATATTTTTTAAAGGACCAACAAGGCGTGGAGTTTTTAAATAATATTTTTTAAAGGACCAACAAGGCGTGGAGTTTTTAAATAATATTTTTTAAAGGACCAACTAGGCGTGGAGTTTTTAAATAATATTTTTTAAAGGACCAACAAGGCGTGGAGTTTTTAAATAATATTTTTTAAAGGACCAACAAGGCGTGGAGTTTTTAAATAATATTTTTTAAAGGACCAACAAGGCGTGGAGTTTTTAAATAATATTTTTTAAAGGACCAACAAGGCGTGGAGTTTTTAAATAATATTTTTGAAATAATATTTTTAAGGATATTTTTCAAAGGACCAACAAGGCGTGGAGTTTTTAAATAATATTTTTTAAAGGACCAACAAGGCGTGGAGTTTTGAAATAATATTTTTTAATGATATTTTTCAAAAGACCAACAAGGCGTGGAGTTTTGAAATAATATTTTTTAAAGGAAAAGCAAGGCTTGGCTTGATTTGAATAGGGCGTGAAGTTTTTAAAAAAATGTTTTTTAAAGGACAAACAAGGCGTGAAGTTTTTAAAAAATATTTTTTAAAGGAAAAAATACTTCTCCATTCCCCCAGCTCTTAAAATATTTCCAAGTCATAAAATATCAATTAAATTTATTATGCCAATATCCAACTAATTCCAATCGTGATAAAAAATTAGTCATGTTTTTTGTCATTTTTTCCGCCATGCAATCCACCAGATATTTAATTGAGTTTTGTTTGCCAAACTCTGGGTTATAATTTAGCAATCAGCGAATATTTGGCTCTCATATCAAAATCTGAAACAATACATTTTCAAATCCATTGGATTTACCTTAACAGAAATAGGATTTTGTATTGGCAGCAAATTACCATAAAATACCTTTAGGCTAATTAAAATAACATTTTTACACACACACACTCATTCCAGTTCAGCGCTAAGTCCCCAGTGGACAGGGGAAGGGGGCATTTTTCGTTGCCTTCTAAAGATATTTCAGTTATTTCTTTTGTTCTGTTGGCCATATTGCAAATTGCATGTAAATATCTAACGTGCATGGCTTAATGCCAAAGTGACCATTTATTTTTAGGCATACCGTTGGTATTGCCTCAAAGCATAGCAGATTTGTTTCGCGAAAGAAAATTTACTTGGAATTTTTTATTTGTTTTCCATGATATTTTTCTTTAGAGATTTTCGCAGCACGGATTGTATTTTGGCTGCAGTTTTGTGACAAGAATAATTTCAGATTTACAAATATAAATGGAGCAAACAAAATTGCCAAAAAACAAGCTACCGTTGCAGCAAAGAACTTAGAAGTGGATATAGTAGGTTGGATTACCCAATTGATAACATACTATGCTGGTGTACTTCCATAGGACGTGGTGTAATGATCCAAATTGTCTACCGGACAAAAGCTTTCATATTTGGCATTTGTGTTGAACAATCAAGAGGACTTGGCACGTAAGCTATGATGCACTCGAACAACAAATTTCAGCGATTTTTAATAGGGATTTTTCATTAAATCTCAAAACCCCAAATCGTGGTCTGATATTGATAAAGCATTGTAGGGTGCAGAAGGTTTATGCTATACCTGAGGGGTGATCAATATTGATTACATCGTGTTAGAATTATCGACCATTCGGAGTTATCGTTATATGAGGGTCTAAGCCTAATTGAAGACCGATATAGTTTATTAAGTTAACCCTTTCAGTGTTTTTGTTGAATATATTCGACATTGAAAAGTACTGCCTCTCTTTGCGATTTTTCGGTTATCCTATGTACCGTTACTATTTATGTTTTTGCTGAAAGACACACGAAACTGGCCGAGGGTTAAAATGACAATTGCTATTTTTTCTAAACTATGTCTCTTTATATGATTTTAAATACAAAATTTTAGATTTTCATTCCGACAAAAATTTGTTTTTGACACTGAAAGGGTTAATTTGACGTTCTAGATTTTTATAGCGATATTCTTCGAAGGTAGAAAGATTACAACATGTGGCTTTGTAGGGTATAAGCTGATAATCCCATACTATGGTGGAATACAGCAATCTGGAGATAATTCCAAAACGCAGAACAACTCAGATAACTATTTTAATATATACGAGTAAGGAAAGTGGTAAAATCGGACTGGGCCGACAATATGATACCCTTCACCACTGTGGGTATATTCTACATATGTATCCCAACAAATGCCACCTTTTCGAGGGAACATTGACATGAAATAGAACGAACTTAAATCAAAATTTAACACTATTTTCTCGAAACTTAACACACGAGCTATGGTAGGGACATATTTCCATCTTAAAGGCTCGAAAATCCCCATGAACATGCAGAACAACAACAATGTCTTGTCATGTGCGAACAAATATATAAAAGATGTTAGAAATACTTCAACGTACAAAACATTCAATTATAGTAACTTCAGAACATTGTACAAAATTGTGTGCCGGTCGGCCAAACTTTAGGTCTTTAGTGCACAATTTACATTAAGGGGACCCCCCATTCTCGGGGTCAAAAATTTTGTTGATATAATTCGAATCTACACTAATTAAATAATTTCCCTACAAAAATTCAAATGAAAATCTCAAGAAGTCTTGAAGATATAGCCGATTTATTGTGTCAGCATCAAGTGGCGGCTGAAGGGCTTCTCAAACTTTAAACGCGTTTTTCTCTAAACATTTTTTTGCGAATGGCGGGCACGATAACTCAAAAACTAATAACCCAATCGACTTCAAATTTTTACACGTTTCTCTGTGAGTGTGTAGCTATCGTATGAACTAGGATAAAGCCAATCGGTGAAGATCTTCCTTATTTTTTGACTTGGGTTTTGGTAAAAAATCGGCGATTTTCCAAAAATATGTTTTCAAAGGTCCAACATTTTTTTAATTTTAGAGCGAAGTCAATAATCCTAGTTCATACGAGAGCCAGACATGTACTCTTTCTAACACCGTTGGAATTTTCGGATTCCGATGTTCCAGTGAGGAGTTATCATGCCCTCCATCGAAAATAAGGACTTTTCTTTAATTACAAAAAAACAACAACAACAAAATAACAAATATTTTTTGTAAATTATTTTTCTTCTTTTTTAAATCTTCAATTATCTTGAAAAATTAAAATCGAGAATGGGAGGGGGTTCCCTTAAATCAGATGCAGATTTATATAGAATCTATATCTAAATCTGAACCGGTTTTCACGAAACTTAGCACACGTCATTCTACACTGAATTCAGTACGCTATGCCGATTCGTGCAAATCGAATGATTTTCAGGGACTTTGGTGCACTATTTACCTTAAATCGCACAAAACTATATGTGGGAGCTATATCTAAATCTGAATCGATTTTTACGAAACTTAGAACACATCAGTCTAGAGTTAATTTCGTACGCTGTTCAAAATTCCGTGCAAATCGAATGATATATAGGGGCTTTGGTGCACCATTTACATAAAATCGGACAAAACTATATATGGGAGTTATTTTAATCTCAACCGAATTTCTTCAATTTCAATTAGGTTCGTCCTTGAGCCAAATAAGTGAGCTGTGCCAAATTTCATCCAAATCGGATCATACCTGTACTTTGTTTACAATTTCACCTCTACAGACGGACGGACGGACTTAGAAAGTGATTCTATGCATATTCTCAAAAGAAACCCTGTGTCTATCTCGTTTTCATTTGCCTGTCACAAGCATATGTCCAAAGACATAATATCCGGTACCGCAGTGTGGTGAAGGTTATAAAAATTGGGACTATCCCTAAAATGAAGCGAATATTAATAATTTTTGGGAGGAGATTTGTTACCATATTACTTACATACTCAGCTGGTTTGTTACGGTTGTTCCATAAGCCGAGCTTAAAAAAGATTTCTAAGCGCGTCGGTCTTATGCGCATTTCATCCAATGTGAAAGACCCTGTTCCGAGATGTTGTATTCTACTTGATCTTTCCATCGGATTCGTGGCTCGCTTTTTTGGGTGGGGGAATCCTCATCCATTCTCACAACATGACCTAGCCAACGTAGTCGCTGAAGCTCGA